GAAAAATATTTGTTCGATTTATTTATTTTTTAAGTTAAGAATGACAAGTCTCGTTTTTCGTGCATATCTTTACAACATTTAATTGTTATAGAAACTTTATTCTGTTACAATTCAAGTGTAGATTCAGAGTTTTATCTACTTTTATGTGTTAAAAAATCGAATATTACTTTTAGTAGTTAGCAGAAATCCGTAGTTTATTTATTGTTTCATCAACTACCTTATATGTCACAATCTAACGCTCGTTAAAATTTCTATTTTTTTCGCGATCTATCCATTTTTTATTGTTTTAAATTTAGATCAAACAACAATAAGTAAATCATATATTCTTTCTTTTCTTTTCTTTTCTATTTTAGATTACTTCGAAAAATAGTTTTGTACAACACTATCACGAACTCGTGTTTCTGCTGAAACTTCTTGAGTATTTACATCATCGTCAAATTCATCAAGCAAAATTTGTCTTATTTTTTCTTCACCATCATCCTCTATTTGTAATCGATGTGCTAAATTATGCAAGTACATGCATGACAATATTATTTTGACACATCGTTCTGGTGTAAACTGAAGACCACCACCCGATCTATCTAAGCAGCGAAATCGCGCTTTCAGTACTCCAAACACACGTTCAATTGTCGACCGTGCGGATTTGAGTGCTAGATTGTATCGCCTTTGTGCTGCTGTAGTTGGATCGTTAAAAGGAGTTAGCAGCCAGGCGCGTAGCGGATAACCGCTGTCTCCTAACAGCCAACCGTCACCATAAATACCATTCGACAATGATGCTGCAATACTTGATTGTCCAAGAATGAAGGCATCATGTGTCGAACCGCGCCGACAAACAACCGTGCTTCGAATCATCAAATTATGATCACAAACAACCTGGCAATTGATTGAGTGATAATTTTTTCGATTTACATAACGTTCTAAACAAAAAAAAATAATTTGATTAATTGCCAGATTTTTGCGATCATGATTTCATCATTGTGCGGTTGTTCATTGGTCTGATTCGATATATGATGCCTTCATTCTTGAACAACCAGGTATTGCACTATCGTTGTTCAATGGGGGCCTGATTGCTCACTCCTTTTAACTACCCAACTACAGCAGCATAACGACGTTACGATCATGCACAGATTCTGTCCGTCCGAAACTGAGTGCTTTTTGGGAGTTCTGAGAGGATGTTGTTTGCATAAAACTGTGCTCCTCTATCATTACTGCAGGTATATGTGCCTCAATATAATACCATGCTTATCTAAGTATAATTTCGATCATCATTTAAAAAAAGAGATTAAATAAATGACGAGTATAGTCCCTTCGATCTACCATACCCATTCTAATTAACACATGTAAACTTCAAATTTCCTTTAACAGAAAAAGCTATTCAAACTATTAAATTTCCAACAACAGTACAAGAACAGAATTTGATTATGCAAACATTTTATCAACGAACAAAATTTCCTCAAGAGATCGGTGTTATTGATTGCACTCACTCGAGTGAAAACAAGAACACACGAATGGGATTAAGTACACACCTTCATTTTTACTCGGAGTTTTAATCGTAATATGCATACAATCAATAACACCAATCATTCGAGGAAATTTTGTTCGTTGATAAAATGTTTGCATTATCAAATTCTGTTCTTGTACTGTTGTTGGAAATTTAATACTTTGAATAGCTTTCTCAGACAAAATCGATGATATTTGAAACACTGTTCTGCTAACAGATATTTTAGATAATCTATGCATATCACCATCTATATAAAAGAACGAACCACTGGCATAAAAACGTAACGCCGTTAAAACTTGTTCCTCCTTTTTATCTTGGTGCTGGCCGCCATTTCGGACGAGCTAGACCCATTAAATATGACATGTTTAAAAATCAACAGATGTCGTTCGAGAAACTTTTTTCCTGTCACAAACCACGCTTCTAAAATATGAGGGATTTAGTCCATCGCTTAACCCAAAAAATAGACAAGTTTACAAAATGGCTTTAATTGCTATGTTAGCAGCAAGAGCATTGAGAAGAGAACGTGTTTCCAAAACAAGCAGTGTTAGATTTATTAAATGAAATTGAACCTCATCTTCAACATCCAACCTCTCGTAGTCATGCAATATCTCCAGTTTTTCAAGCTTTAACGGCGTTACGTTTTTATGCCAGTGGTTCGTTCTTTTATATGGATGGTGAAAATTTTTTCATCTATTCTAATTGAGTAACTTAGCGAGACACATCTCATAGCAAAAAGGGATTTCAGAAACGTTCAGTCGAGGGTCAAGCGATTCGTAATGACGCGCGTTACTTGTTATTTAATGCATATACGATACTTTCACTCCTTAAATTAGAATATTCTTCACAAACTGCCAGTACTGTTTTCATTACTGTCAATACTCGTTCATATTCGGTATTTTTCACCTTTAAAATGACAGAGGATTCCAACGCTTATTATGTTCTCATTCAATTGAATATTCAACGATTTCTAAATACTGAGGAAGCGAAGTCATAATTGGAGTGCAGAAAAACACTGGTCCGTACGGTGTGAATTAGAACTTTTCTAAGATACCGTGCTTTTCCACAGTAAAATTCGTTACAAAGATAAAACGAGTTTTGTGAATAGCTATTATCATTAATTTGAAAATAGGTTAAAAAAAATTGTAATTTCAAAGTACAATCAAACACTTTAGTTGAATAAAACTCGTATTCTACAAAAATAAACTAAAACTAATTCAGCTGCAAATCAATTTATGGCTATTTTGTTTCCAGTCAATTGTTTGACATGCTTTTGAACAATAACGAGCTACTTTACATTTGCTACAAGTAAATAATGCATTTTCTTCGCTGCAACATCGACACATATTTTTAACATTGTGAGTATCTCCATGTAAAATAATTGACGAAGCATCATCCACACGAATTGCCGGTTTCTTATCAGCCGCCATACGCATGTACGGATTTAAAATACTTAGTTTTGCACCATAAATATACGTGCTTTCTATCAACTGTCGACCTTCAGACGGAGGAATATTATATATGAAAAGTCGTTCCAAATCACCGTTCTCATCTTCGAATAATAACCATATGGATGGTTCAACAACGGGCGATCGCTCGAAGATCACACCAGACAATACATATCCTTGGTATACATGATCTTTGATTGGATTCATTTCCCGTAGAGTAACTCCTTTTAATCCAACTAATGAGGAAGGCGAGTTTTGATATAAGCGAGGTTTATTTGTCGAATTTAGGAGTTTTTGGTTTGGTGGAAGTTTACCAGTTTCAGCGATAGCGTTTCGATGTCTTTGAATCATGCCAAGACGTCGCGGATCAGTAAGGCGTGATTTTGGTTTCCGTGCGACGACTATTGACTCAACTGGTGTTTTATTAGACGCTACCGATTTGAGTGATAACAATTTTGATATCAACAATTTATTGTTCGATTCATAAGGTAGGAAGCAGGGTAATTGGTTTTTTTCGGCTTCAATACCTTTTTCATAATATTTTTCTGTGAGTTCAACGTGATTCTCCATTGTAGTATTCGCTAAACAGCAAGTCGCAGCGGCATAGTATGCTTCAGGTAATTTGCGATGATCAAATGGTGCGCTTTTGGCAAATTTATCATATGCTACTACTGTTTCATTTAAGTCACAATGCTTGATGAGCCTTAACATAGCAGCTCTGTCATAGAGAAATTCTTCATCGGCTGGAACTAGTTGGAGTGCAGCATTAAAATCTGCTAAACCTTCGTCATATTTTTGCATAAAACCATACAAAGATCCACGGAGCTCTAAGAAAAAAGGTGACTTCGGATACATTTGAATACAGACCGTCAGAAATTCAACTGTGGATTGCAAGGAATTCATGTGTAAAAATCCAAAACATACGCGAGCATCTTCATCCAGTTGTGACTGTTTCGACTCGCATTGAACAAGAACACAATCAACCGCCAGTTTTATTTCATGACGTAAAGGTTCTGACAATTGAATAACGATATGCTGTATTCTTATACTTGCTGAAAATTCTTTTATAAATTGAATGTTTCTGTTGTCAACACTAATATTGTCATTCAGAAAAATGTGCATTGCTCTAAGAAAATAAGTTTGTGCTTCTAACAATCGTCGAGCAAAAATATATCCTTTCTGTGAATACTCTTCAAGCATTGTACGATCATACGTTCTCGATTTGCCTCCAAACCGTTGTCCTACAGGCTTCAGTAATTGAAACGTCTTAGCTAAATCTTGTACGGCATTAGAGGTTCTAGTAGCAGATGGCTCGTCCGCACAAATCTTGCGTTGAATACGTTCGTTATAAGTTAAATTAGTGACACTTAAACTATTTTGTTTTTCCCATATTTCAATGTCCAAGTCCTTGAATAGCGCACGTTCTTCTTCCGCTTTATCTCGAATAATCTTTATAGCATGTGCATCTAATATATTGCTGTTCTCTATAGCATGGTCACACCATTGTTCTGCTGCTTGATAGTCTCCCTTCTGAAGAAACAATAGAGCTAAATTCATAGATCCATTGTGATCATCACGCGTAACTGATAATCGAAGTAGTTGTTCTGATTTCCAACCAAATCTTTCTCGACACCTTCACCATCACCGTACATAAGTCCTAAATTATTGGCAGCATTTGCACTACCGTGATCTGATGCACGCTGATACCATTCAGCCGCTTTCCGATGATTCATTTCGACCCCGACACCCGTTGCATAATGTAATCCTAAAGCATGTTCAGCTTCCGCTACACCAACATTTGGAATTAACAATTTGTCTGACATTGAAGGATTTTGAGCAGCTGCTTTTTCTAATAGTTTAATGGCAGCTTGTATATCTTTTTGAACTCCTAATCCTTGTCTGTGTAGTAAAGCGAGATTGTACATGCCTTCAGCATTACCTAAAGCAGCAGCCTTTGAATAGAATCTTGTAGCTAATTCATAATCTTGTTTGATATTGTCATCGCCATCTCGATACTGATGAGCAGTGAACACAGCATCTTTGCCTGGGTCATTTTTTCGAATAAATTCGATAAATTTTTCTTGGTGTTCAGCACTGTATCCACAGTTTTTTGACAATTCATCAAGTTGCTCGCGCGTCGTCCTCGGCATATTTTGCGGAACTAGATGATCTTGTCGGTCATAGTAATGTTTTTTATCAAGAGCGAAGTCACGAGCGTTTTTCGTTTCAGCATTAGTTGGATCGAGTGCAAGAGCTTTGTCAAACGAATGTACAGCTTTTTCATATTCACCTAATGCGACATGCGCTTGTCCAATACGATAATGAGCTTTCGACCAAGTTGGGCGGAGATCACGAGCATGTTCAGCGTCTTGTAGAGCCAGATATCGAGAGTCCATCGACGAGGTAATTGTTGACGTTACGCGTTTCTCCAAATATGTAGCAGATCGATTTGAATAGAGAATTGATCGGTCGTTACCACTCAAACCAGGAAGAACGAGGGCTTGTGAGAATGACTTCAATGCTTCTTCAAAATTCTTTTGTTTATATGCTTCGTTTCCAAGATCTTTCAGACGTTTTGCTTCCATCGTATTTGTAGTATCGATGGGTCCTTTTTGGTTTGTGTCATTAGTATTCAATTTTAATTCAGCAATTTCATCTGCATCATCACCAAACGAGATCAATATTGTCAAAAGCTGAATCCAGATAGTTTCGAAGTCGGCGTCGGAAATACATTTTGTTGCGTGGTGAGCATTGTTGTTTCGAATATTCGTTACCACTAATAAATCATTGTTTTCCTTCGCAATCTTTTGTTTACTAGTTTGATTGAGTGGTTTTTTAGATTTAGTTTCACGAAGAATGAAAAGTAATGTGGTCAAATCCCATAGATTTGTATCACCTGTCTGTAACATAATTTTTTGAATATTACGGCAGTTTTGATAAATCTTTTGACCGGTGCCTGTAATATAAGCTTGTCCATCGGTTTGAGTGTCTAGCCATTGTTGACCAGTAAACAGAAACCAACGATCTTTGAATAGTTTTCGAAATACATTACATGAACGGGTCAGTAGACGTTCTATTTTAAACCAGTTTTGAAGCTTTGAATCCATAAATCAAAAGAACTTTTTAATTTATTGATCTGAAACTGGAACGAAGCTAAAAATCTTATATACTAGTAAACGAATAATATAAATGTGTGCGGCAGTGAAACAAATACAAAAATTAATAAAAAAACGAACAGAAAGCAAGAAAAATTTGATTAAATAAATATATTTTTAATGCAAATGTGAATAATAAAATTTAATTTTCACATATCTAACTCACTATTTATAACTAATGTCGGCAGATTAGCTTGGGAAAATTAACGATTTATTACAACAATAAACATGCGAATCTTATTCATCTAATATATCTGGTTACCCATATAAATAGTTTTCGTATCCAAACGCGTTTTCGTGGAATTTTAAAATTAGATAAAAAACATATCAACTCATCTCAGGTTCAAACCGATGGGATGTATAAAACTTGAAAAGGAATCATGCCCTCGTGTCTTTGTTTTCAACAAGTTAGATTTTGAAAACAAATTCTCCTTAGGACTCATATATGCGTATATGAGTGAATTGCAACTTTTCTGTACAATTGGGGGGAAAAATTGAAATTGGCTTTAAAAAGATTCTGAGTAGTACATTTTGTTCGTCGTCGTTTTCTGACTATGAGATGTAAATTTCCCGACTACCAGATGCATACTTACTAGATAAGCCGACACTGTGGCGAGTTTGCATTTGCCGCAAGGTCAAAAATCGAAGATGTCCTTCTACCCTCTCATGCGGTGACACGGAGGATAGAGAGGATGAGGAGGATAGAGGGGACGGGAAGGATAAGGAGGATAGAGAGGACGAGGAGGATAGAGGGGACGGGAAGGATAAGGAGGATAGAGAGGACACGAAGGACAAGAAGGATAAGGAGGATAGAGAGGACAAGAAGGACCAAAAGGACTAAAAGCACAAGAAGGATAAGGAGGATAGAGAGGACAATAAGGACAATAAGGACAAGAAGGACAAGAAGGACCAAAAGGACAAAAAGGACAAAAAGGACAATAAGGACAAGAAGGACAAGAAGGACCAAAAGGACAATAAGGACAAAAAGGACAATAAGGACAAGAAGGACCAAGAGGACAATAAGGACCAAAAGGACAATAAGGACAAAACGGACAAGAAGGACAATAAGGACAAAAAGGATAATAAGGACAAAAAGGACAAAACGCAGGCACACTATCTCAAACACGAAGTTTCGCTATATAATGTTTGTCACTTCCAATCATTCTCCGTCCGTTTTGTCCTTATTATCCTTTTTGTCCTTTTTGTCCTTCTTGTCCTTAGTGTCCTTCTTGTCCTTACTATCCTTATTGTCCTTTTTGTCCTTATTGTCCTTTTTGTCCTTATTATCCTTTTGGTCCGTATTGTCCTTATTGTCCGTTTTGTCCTTATTATCCTTTTTGTCCTTTTTGTCCTTCTTGTCCTTAGTATCCTTCTTGTCCTTACTATCCTTATTGTCCTTTTTGTCCTTCTTGTCCTTAGTATCCTTCTTGTCCTTACTATCCTTATTGTCCTTATTGTCCTTATTGTCCATTTTGTCCTTATTATCCTTTTTGTCTTTTTTGTCCTTTTTGTCCTTATTATCCTTTTTGTCCTTTTTGTCCTTCTTGTCCTTACTATCCTTCTTGTCCTTACTATCCTTATTGTCCTTTTTGTCCTTATTGTCCTTATTGTCCTTACTATCCTTATTGTCCTTTTTGTCCTTTTTGTCCTTATTGTCCTTACTATCCTTCTTGTCCTTACTATCCTTACTATCCTTATTGTCCTTTTTGTCCTTACTATCCTTCTTGTCCTTACTATCCTTATTATCCTTATTGTCCTTTTTGTCCTTATTATCCTTCTTGTCCTTTTGGCCCTTATCATCCTTCTTGTACTCTTTAATTTAATGTTCTGCAACTCTATATCCTCATCATCAGCTTGCCGCAGATGTCTACTTAAAGGAAAAGTCTCGATTTGCCGCAATTGCAACCTTAGCATAGTATGGAGAGAAGATCATAGTCAAGGTTATTGCGCAAGCATATAGTCTAAGTAATTGCGCAAGAATATATTCAAGGTTATGGTGCAAGACTATGGTCAAGGTTATTGCGGAAGAATATTCAATGCTGATGCAAGAATATATCCAAAGTTATTGCGCAGAGTCTACTCAAGGTTATCGCGCAGTATTTCGTATATAAATAGATCAATTTTATTGTTAAAAGAGATCTTTTTTATTTGTAAATAAACGTTAAGTGAGAAAGATCTTAGTTTACCCGGGAACCTAACAGCAGTCGACTTACGAATGGCTACAGGGGGGCGTGAACATTACCAAAATATTCCAGTGATAAAGCGTTATAGACAGCCAGGAGATATCTTATTTTGTTCAGAATTCTTTGCTCTATAAGGCTATGTGGTTTGCAAAACTTTCTGACTATAGGCGACAACAACGAAGATTGATCGAAACACAACTTAAACTGATAATGATTGTCGAAAATGGCGTCTTTTATATGAACGTAATTCACCATTAACTCGTTCATCTACTTTCGAAAATTGTTCTTCATCAATTGTTCGCCCAATGGGATCAGAATGCCCAGCGATATGTACAGCTATCTTTATGCATTTAACTTGTTGGTATTCATTAATAAATTCTGGATGATAGTCTTGATCACACTCTTTTAGATATGCGAACAACTGTTTAACTTTTGAATTATCTGTATACAAAAACATGATATCTTGTGTATTTCGAATTTTATTTTTGGCATGCTTCAGTGCCATTGTAGCTGCTAGAACTTCACATTCTGCACAATTACGTACATTGTGATATTTCTTTGTATTAATTCGATTTTCATACAAATAGCCGGCAACACCAAACTTTAATCTAGCATCATAACTACCATCTGAATAATATTTATGAATTGTTTGAGATTCTACCACTTGTGGTTGTAAACGTTCATTCACCTCTGTTACGGTCGGTTCTTGTATCTGATTTTCAGATGAGTCATCAAGCAATTGTTCATCATCGTCCGGATCTTTACGTGCACGATAACAACAACGATAAACACAATAAAATATAATCACCAAAGTAAGACTTAAAACACCAGCTGAAATTATCCAGACGTCTAAATTAAATATCATTTGCGTTAGAACATATCAAATGCTGATGTTGAAAAATTTTCTTTTTATTTAATGTGTTTCTTTTCTTCCTTCATTTAATTGATTGTCAAATGTTATGATGCTTTTTACTGACATATTTTGATGGTTTTCTCTTTCTTACCTTTTTCTTGTTTCGTTCAAAATCAAGAAAGTAAAAGCAAGTTTTTACAGAAATTATTTTTTTGTATCGTTATATATTCGTATAATTTTTGAATATCTAATACCATTTATACTATCTTCTACAGACTATAATGATATATGGCAAAAGAGAGAAAAGAAGGAAAGAACAAAAATACTATCAGGTTGGCAAAAATCAGGTTTTTGTGTTTCTTTTTTAAGATTTTCTAAAACATTCGAGAAACTTCTAGAAGTTTCCATACGAAGGGTATATAAAGGAGGTACTCATATCTTCCAATCAACAATAAAGCTATGGATATGGACGTTGATCTTGGATTAGAAATGAAAATATCTCGTAGGGAGCTCCGAGTGCTTCTGCTTCATGAATTCTTGGGTCGCAAAGCAACGGAAGCAACAAGCAGCATATGCGGCACGATGGGCAAGGATGTACTCTCCATCCGTACAGCGCAACATTGGTTCAACCGATTCAAGAATGGTTTTTTGTAAGACGAAACGGACTGTTTGCATATTAATAAAATGGCTTAGGCTATTATTACAACAGAAGCTATGACCTTAAGAGAACGTATAGTTAGATCAAATATTGTAAAGAAAAGATAAACGCATTATACTAGATATCATTTCAGTACATCGAGGGCGTAGATAGATAAATGTATATATATATATATATATATACACTTACTATACATGTACTAAGGAGATAAAGGAAGAAAATAGCGATATGACCAGGTAGGTGATAGACAGATATGTACAGAAACGCCGGTGTGGTTTAAATACCTCGAAGAAAAGGCCTAAAGAAAACTTATAAAATAAATTATAGGCATAACTCAATCTTTTTTGATTTTATTAGTATATTGATCTTGCAACAAGAATTTCTTGATTTTTTTCCAATTGAATGAATTCAATTCAATTCAGTGATCCTAGTAAAAATTTTCGATTCAATTCAACTCGATTCGATGATTGTTGAAAAAATTTTCCATTCAATTCGATTTCATCCACGAATTGAATTGAACTGAGTTGCCCAGCTCTGGTTTGAACAGTTCAAAAGACGTATAGAATACACGGTTGTCTCTTATAAAAAGATGCTGACTTTTCCAACCAGAATAAGTAAAGAGAGGAAAGTATCGTGCGAGAGACTAGTGTTTTTCATGTTCTGCTGACAGATAAAATATGGGAAATATATCAAAAAGAAGCAGCGGGTTTTCTTTGTGATGAGAATAAATAATTCTTCGATGGTATGTGGCAGAAAAAAATAATTTTGATGTGTTCTACTAATGTCGTTGTTGGTACTCGGCAGTTAGAGAAACGTTATTGTGAAGGAGCATTAATACACACTGATAGTTGGTGAAACAAAACGTTTTCTCTCGTTACAGGGTACAACCAACGACATGAATAGATTGTATATTTATATACTTCCCATATTTTATCTGTCAGTAGAACATAAAAAGCACTCGTCTCTTATACGATACTTTTCTCTCTTTACTTATTCTAGTTGGCAACAAGAACAAAAGGTCAGGGAATAACATTAGAAATTGTACAAGCAAATCAATCCGTGCCATTTCACCTATTATTAACAAATAAAAGGAAGTTTGGGCATGAGAAAAATCAATATTGGCTAATGCTATCCATTGACGATGAAAAACTTACTCTTCAGAAGCTTGTTAACGATCGTCAAACATTATTACAGAAAACTATGGCGCGTGATCATATTTTACAAATAGTACAACTAGGCCGATACAACTATTGGCTCAGCATAGATTTTAAGAATTTCTTGGTTAAATATGGTCAAGGTGAAATCAGAAATGAATACACATTGTTTAGTGTTCATATGACGGATAATGATGACAAAAAGTATTTAACGAAATTGAAATCTTCATATACTATCTAAATTTTCATGGAGTTGGTCTAAGTTTCAGTTCAGTATGTTCAACACATTCGATATGTTTTTTATATGATTAATAGTTATTTTAGTGGAGACTAATCGTCGTCGATTCGATTTTGTTGAATGTCTAAAAGAATTTTCGTTTCTGGATTTAATGTTGAATATGGAAGTACGGATGCACCGGTTACAGTTATAACCTGTTGTAACCGATACCTATGGTTAGACAGGAATTCGACATTTTAAATGTACTTATAGCCCGTCTTTCAGAAATTATCATAAGATATGAAATGTAGGATTGGAAATTTTCAGAAATTGGCTCTGGACTGCAGGGCTTGTTCATGTAGAAGCTCACCATTATTAGTAAACTCGGTTACCGGTTGGTTATCGGTGGTCTATAAACTCACCATTATTAGTATTCTTCTAAAAATAAAAAGTTAACAGTATTATAGTAGTAATACTTTTCTTATTTTACTTTCGAAAAGCAGAAGAAAATCACGGCTAGAAAACGGTAAATATTTATGTAAAATATAGATTTTATCACGCTTTGAAACAGGAGATGACAAAAATGTCTTTCTTTCTTTTTCTGTTGGAGATTCCTTTCATACAACAATTATGTAAAAAGAATTTTCCGATCTTCTAACATGTTGGTTCTCATTAAACCTTGAAAGAAAAAGTAAAAAAGAAAGAAACAAAGAAGTTTTTACTAAACTAACGTGGTATAATAGTTACATTGAAATTCTGGAACTAAACATGAATCATACGGCTTGTCTAGACATAGATATCCTGGAAAATAGTAATCTTTTGTAGCATCATAATCTTGTTTCTCCTTTCACGTTCAAAAGCCCTCCTAGTCTTTTCTTACGCAGAGTATGAAACTGAGCCTATAAATGTTATTTGGAACATGGTGAAATATAACGTGGTCAATATAAAAGTTTACGTCCTAGGAGGTATTAAAAAGTGAGAGCCAATTTTGGAAACCTATCTAGTTTTGTCACATAATTCGGATTTAAGATGTTAAATCCAGTTTATATTCGATTAAATCACATGTGCGCCGATGTTAATCAAAATTTTAAGTTTCTGTTTTAGATGGTTGCTAGAGAATTTGATTACATCGAACTTCGGTTGTCCTCATTTCGTTTCATTTCGTGAATTCTAAGAAAAAATCTAGCCTCACATAAACATAATATCTCACAAATCATTCAGACAAACATCAAACAATCGGGCAACCTGTTGACTCCAACTCGCCTTTGCGGCAGCAACAGCGTCGTACGGAATCAAACACGGCGGTCTGTCAACCTGTTGAGTCAGCGGATTACCCGATTGTTTGACGTTTGTCTGAATGATTTGTGAGATTTGATGATTTGATTTTTATTTGCTGAAGCATAGAAAATGTAATGGAATGGTTGTTGTGATACCAGCAGTTGGACGCTCGACATTTCCAACTAATGAATGGTAGGCGATGGGGAGGTGGCGAACAGGCTAGATTTTTTCTTAGAATTCACGAAATGAAACGAAATGAGAACAACCGAAATTCGATGTAATCAAATTCTCTAGCAACCATCTAAAACAGAAACTTAAAATTTTGATTAACATCGGCACACATGCGATTTGATCGAACATGACCTGATTTTAACATCTTAAACCCGAATTGTAACCGATACCTATGGTTAGACAGGAATTCGACATTTTAAATGTACTTATAGCCCGTCTTTCAGAAATTATCATAGGATATGAAATGTAGGATTGGAAATTTTCAGAAACTGGCTCTGAACTGCAGGGCTTGTCCATGTAAAAGTCAACTTTTACGTAAGTCCGTAATGTTTTGTGAAAGTCATAGCTCTTCAGCCGAGACGCGTACAGAGTTGGGAACATCTCATTTTGTAGCATAAAGATTTTTCTTTCAAATGGTAGTCAAGCAAAGTCTAGCAGCTAATAAGTTATATAATGTAACAGTTCAGCAAAGAGACAATTCAGAATAGTACAATGTGCATAGACAATATTAAACTTTTAAATTTCAATACAACCTAAAAAATATGGTTTTTGTCTATTTTTTGCTCAACCATCAGTTTTCTTCGACAACTTTGACGGTAACACTTTTCATATAAAAGAAAAAGTTCACTGGATTATGACTGCCCTGTATTAAACGGGAATATATTCGAGACTATTCGAATATTAATCATTGGTTTAACATTTTTAAAGTACATTTCTGGCAAAAAACGAACTTAAAGGCGAACCTTTTCTCGCCGGTTCCAGTGACTATAAAAAATTTCAGCTGGACTACAGCTGGAACTGGAGCTAGATATTTCCAGCTAGTTTCTGTTAACTATTGTTCAGTTTGCAAAAAATCCAGTAAGCTTTTTTGATCGGTATGGTAGCGGTTGAACAAACTTACGTAATCTGCCAGAAAATGCGCACTATCGAACGTCATTTAATTTTACCTGAACTGATTTTCTCACCAATTTATTTTGTTATAAAAACAATTTTGCTGGTGTGGTCTACACAAGACTGAGTTTCCGTGCACTGGTATCAGAAGCTTCAATTAAAACCAATTAGACGTGGTAATAAGTCTAGTTGACACCAACGGTGGTGCCAACAGGCCTACCCAAACATTTTTCAGATATGCAAGTCCATGTCCTCTGGAAAACGCTGAGGTGAAAATCGAACTCTGACTGGAAAAACTTCGAACCTGCAACCTGATTTTTGAAACCTGCCTGTGAGTAGCTCCAGCTATCATATTTGAAATCAGCAATACCGATTACCTATAACCACATAAAAATTCCATCTAAAAACCAATAGGGCAGCTGAAAACGTTCCCCACCCCCGTACGCACATGAGTGCATTGATGGTAATAATTGAGATCACAGCAGTTTTAAACATTCTGCATTTATTCAAACGATAAAAGGCAACGTTTTTCTGTTTCAACCAACATTAATAACTACCAACACTAATAATACTACTTCGTTAATTTGTATATGATAGAAAAACGCGTAATTCGCCTACCTTAGATGATTTTATCTGAAACTATTCAAATGATCTGACACTATTTTACTTCAAAACTAATCTTCCTTCCATTTTAGTTCGCTTTTTTACTTCATTAATTAATTTTTTTATCGCCTTTTTCTATTCTTTTTGTTAAGTTTATGTATTATTAGTGTACGGTGATCAGGAAAACATCATTGCAACAACTCTTCAACTATGCGATACTTCGGCGCATTAGAACGAAAGCTGTTAGGTGTCTTCTTTCCTAAATAAAATAGCCTAAGTTAAATTTTCTTTTAAGTTTATTCGCAATTGAAAGTAGATAATATATATAAAAGTGAAATCGAAGTCAATAGTAGGAATTTTATTGCAGCGATGGCCAGTTCTGTGTGCTTTACAAAATGAGCCATTTTGTAGAGAATTAAATTTTTTATTCAATGGTATGTTTTCAAAAATTTTGGAACAAAATGTCTGGGTCAGAAAATTGAAATTAAAGTCTTTGTATTGAAAATTAATTTTGTTCTTCAAGAAAAAGGCGGATTCGTGATCAGCATGAAAAGCTGCGTCTAGTGATGTGCCGCCTCTATCGATTTTCCGATGAAGAAAATTCAAAAAATACTTGATCAGCGAAGTGTCGCGTTAAGTGGACAAGTCGTTCAAATAATTTTGTAAAATATCATTACTCTGAACTTGTATAATCAAGCGGTCACTTACGCTACTTTGGTTAACTTGAAACACGTATCCGATTATTATTGCAAAGATGAAGTATGAAGGGATCTTTGTAGGCTATACGAAAAGTGTCTGCACACTTGTAATACTGCATATTATAAGCCAAATACAGAATACGTTTAGATAGCTTATGGTATTAATCGCGTTAACAACCGATAGGTTGATAGTTTTCCATAGCGTTGAAGGCAACAACTCAACTCAACAAGATGCTACCAAATCTCACCCGACGGTTTTTGTCATATTTAATGCGTCTCGCATTAGCCATTTACACAGTTCTCAAAAACAATTATTTCAAAATATTTATATAGAAAGCCATGCTGTCACCGTTTATTTTATCTTTACTGTTTCTTTTTCATATGGGCACGAGAAAATTTTAACTTTAAAGGTGAAACAAAAGATTATAACATGTCTCTCTATATAAATATTTCGATAATTGTTTTTGAAAACTGTGCAAATGGCTAATGTGAGACATATCTAATATGGAGAAGTCCAGTCAGAAGAGGACTGGCAATATTTTGTTGGCGATGTATTTGAATCGGCTGATTTGCAGTACGAAGACTTTTCTATGGTAGAAAATGAGCCCTTGTATGATCCACAAATTCATTTAAAATTCACTGAACCAGATTTTGTTGTTTTATTAAATAATAATTTTCAACAGGAGAAATATATATCTACAGATAGAAATGACAAGTATCCATTGGCATATACTGCTTCCTTTCGTATTCTAAGTGACGAAGGATATTCAGTGTTAAAAGCAATAAGCAAACGAGAATTGTCAATTGTCAAGGAGATCTACGTCAGCCAAATTATATTCAATCTATTGGCTACAGATCACAATGGATTAAAGATTTTAATCGACGTCCCGTTGTTTGCGACTATTTGTCAAAATTATGCGGAGAACCTTTAATGTTAACTATCTTAAAATCGACATATAGTCACACAAATATTGGCTTAGTTGATCCAGATAAGGATGTGGATCAAGGGCATACAGACAGTGTTCCGTTTGTTATTATAATTCTTACTTGTAAAATGACTAATACGGTTGGCGGTGAACTTCAATTGATTGAGAGAGAAAAACAAGAAGCATCAAAATTAATTTCACAATATAATCGAAATGTACCTGATGAATATGTTAAAAATATTGAATTTGATGGACCAGGTTCAGTCATTTTCATGCAAGGCTGTGCAATTCAACATAGAGTTCTATTTGAACACAAAAAACATACCAAAAAAATTACTACTGATAATAACGAGTCGATTGCACAACTTCAATCGTTGTACAGAATATAGATGCAGAACGGTGAATTTAGTTTTGTAGTTTACTACAAAGCTAAATTCACATGTTCGAATCTCTATTCGTACCAAAATTGATTTTGTGTTTTTCGATAGTTTTAGTTTAGAATACTATGATGGAATATTCTTCCGCTTGTATTCTGACAGAATAAAGCTATAAAACAACACAGAGTTAAACCAGTTATGGCAGGTACCGAACCTAGAATCACGGTTGTTAATTCTTACATGTCAAGAAATCCGTTTGCCACAGAAAAAACTCGTTATGATACGTTCCGTATGGAACCAACAACTAACTATGAGTTTACGCTGCATAAATCTTGGCGTGCCCGAGAACAACTAAAAGCATTGCTGATGTACAATAAGAAATGGCCTACAAAAGACGAATTGATTAAATGCTTAAACTTAGTCATTAAAGAACTCGTTGACTGTCGAGATTTGTTAGATGGAACTGAGACAGATGCTCTGGGGTACTATAGTACTGGCAGTACACAAATGAGAATGTATGATGGAGGTTATAGAGTGGAAAAGAAAGTGTTAAATCTTGATGAAAACTAGTACGAATTGTGAGATTCTTAAAAAACACATCTTTTTTTTATAAACATATCCTTTTTAATAAATTGATTCGGAATAGCAGTAGCAAATCAAAACAGTCGAGAGATGAAGTAAAGGATAGCAGTTCTTTACTTCTTCTCTCGACTATATCATTTTTAATTTAATTACCACTTCGTCGCTGGGTATACGTTGCGCAATAACGAATATTTTTTATTATTTTTTTAAACCAAAGTTGTTGTTTCATTTTTATGAATAGTAATTTGCATTTTTATCATTTGACGAGCAGCTGATTTTCCTGGTGTTTTTTTTGCACTCTCAGATTTCCTAGGTTGTTGTTGTTGACAACGCGGAGACACCGTGGGCGAGTCCGAGTCTCTCCCGGAATTTTCCGGACACCAAGTGTCCTTTAGCTTGGTTTCAGTAACTTGAATGCACCAGTAACTTTGAATGAAATGATAACAACAAAGACTTGAATAAAGTTGAAGACCGAGAAAACTGTGATGAGTAGTAGTTCTAAGAAGTATATAGGCAACGTACCTACCTTGTCATACGTTCAGGT